ATTTGGGCTTAGCCATCCGATGGATGGTTGCTGTTGTGGTGTACCCCAGCGCGGTGACGACGACACTGAGGGCCAACCGGGGATGCACAAGGATGGCCAGCCCATGGATGGTTGCTGTTGTGGTGCCCCTCAGCGCGGTGACGACGACACTGAGAGTTAACAGAGGATGTGCAGTGAGCAATGTTCTCTTTACTCAGCAGTCTTTTAACCAAGGGTTGTAATTTTAGCTGTACGTTTGTCAACCCTACTCATGTTCCTAATGAGTTTTGATAACATTTTCACCCCAGCGTTTGGGGGCGGGCTGATGAGAGCCACAAGGACACTCACCTCTGGGGGCCGCCAAACTCCGAGATCCCCTGACAGCTCTGTTAATGCTCATTTGAGACATTATCCGTGGCGCACGACGAGGACGTGCTGTAGGGTCTTGCGTGAGGTTCCGTACAACCAGATAGTGAAGGACTGGCGCCCGAGTGACGTTACGGAGTATCTCCTTATACACATCATGTTGGACTTAACTTCCCCTCACGCCTGTGACATAAATCACCGCGCCACGGATAGGTAGTAAAGTAAAGATCCCTTTTCACGCCTTTCGGCGCATAGGGCATATGGGCAGAGCGTCCCATATTTTACAGACCATCAGCACTCTGTGGGTAACGGCTGTCTTTACTTTCCCAGGACAGCCTATCCTGGTACCCATTTTAGGCTGGGTCGACCTGCGACGTCCCAAACCACGACAAAAATCCACGCAGCCTGCAGTGGGTTTCGATCGCGGTATGCTGGCTTACGAGTCGGACTCGCAACGCCTTAGCCACGGACGCCGCAGGATAAGTAGGTATGTAGGTAATTGTACCCCACCAAAACATCACACAAGCTATAAACACCCGGTGACACAAAGTGCCATCACACGGATGAGGATCACCCGTGGAGAGGTCCCAGAAACCTCTTTTAGCCGTGAGGCCATATATTTATGGCCCGGCTATATTCAGGGCCCCCGGCTAAAGCCAGGGTGATGCTTCAAATAACAAAAAATCGCATCCTACATGGGAACGACTAGAATACAGTGAATAACTTTTGGGATGTTAAAAATATTCTAGATTACTATTATTATGTCTTAAGAATAGTGTGGCACATAATTAGGTTTAGTACTAATAAAAATGCGTGACTATATACGATACGTTTAGGTGATGCTGAACGAAGGGATATGAGTCAAATTCAAACCTGATACATTCAAAGCTCCCCCCCCCCCCCCCCAACCCGCCATATGTGAAACATGTAAAAATCATGTTACACATAACACTGCTTACCTAGTCAGTGCAGCCGCTATTGGTTACCGTTTGTGTTCAAGCTAAATAAAAATGTTTATTCCCTGCCCTCAGGAACTTACCAATCCCTCCCATTACCAGGCTCTACATTTGACCAAAGAAGCTACAACTTACCCCCCTCGACCACCCATCGCCCTAAGGTGGGATCGGGGAGCACCGTTTTTTATAATATACTAGTCTAGCTTTTAATTATAAACTGAGAAAACAGCGAAATGTGCCCCCCCCCCCAACCACACACACACACACACACACACACATGCACACATATACATGCACACACTAATATTTTAGGAACGTAACAAATGTGCAGGTGAGAAGAGAAATAACTGTAGTGAATGTTAACATTTAGTGATTATGGTGTTAATTGTTTTTGTTTTTTTATAAATGCGTAGAAACCTTCAGAACAAGTAGGTGGACCTGCGCATTGCAAACAGTATGACATTTGTATATCCTACCTCTCTACTGGTCAGCGTTTTGGGAGGTGGCCCCGTGACACTTATCGGACAGACACATGGGACTTCAGTTTTATAATACACACACACACTCACACACACACTCGCGCGCGCACGCACGCACACGCGCACACATAACACAGGTGACGTTGTTAGGCCATTTAACGCACATGTCAGCAAACAGTAACACCGCAGCAAGCAGTGATGTACAGACCAGGTGGGAAGCGAAGAATAGGCCGACCATGCAAGCGATAAACAGATGGAGTAATGGACTTCCTGAAAATCCCATCTACGAAGCGCAAAAACCGGCACTTTCCCAATAATTATGCTTCACCTCCCCACCTCAAAATACCAAAGGATCAAGGTGAACATTATATATATATATATATATATATATATATATATATATATATATATATATATATATATATATAATTTGGCCCATACTAAACGCTCAGAGGAAAGGAAACCCAGACGTATAATTAGACTGCTACAGGTACCATAGGTAGTCATCGTCCCCAACTTGATGCAGTTTTTCATTTTTTTGAAGTCCCCTCATATAACTCAACGGTTGAACGGGGTTTCTGGGACCTCTCCATGGGTGATCCTGATCTGAATGGTGGCACTTTGTGTCAGCGGGTGTTTATCGCTCTGTATGATATCCTGGTTGGGTAAAACTCATTTAGTAACTACCATGGGTACTGGAAATATGCGCTGGCTGCTAAAGATGAGGATGGAGCTCTTATGGGAATGGCCTGAGTGGTGTGATGCCGGTTCTTCAATCAATCAACTCAACGCAATTCTATCGCCTTTCTTTTTCGCTATATAGCACTTGTGATATTAGAGTGCGAAACAAAGGATCTACGAGCAGCCTAAGGCCGGAATCGGACCATCGTCAAGTACACCCAGCTGCTAATTCACGCCTGTAAGTTTTGTATTGAGGAGGTCCTTGTATGGGGATGTGTAATGTACTTTTTCAGCATTAACAAACTATTTTGGGCCTATATAGACATTTTAATATGTTATTTCTACGACATATATGAAGAGTAAATCCTAAATTCTAAATAACTAGGGTTCGGGTTAGGTTAGGCTCTAAACGGTCCTAAATTATCAAGGCAGAAAATATACCCTAACAGGGCCTCAGTCACGTGTCAATTGTGTATTTCCGGGGACTATACCGCTGTCGCCAAATTTCGAACTTCCAGGGACTTCAGCCACAGTCTCCCTGAATATCCCTGACGCCGCTCACGCGGCGTGGATTGTGATTGGGGCTAAACCAAATACCTAAGCCTCACGCTCACGAGCAAATAAAATGAAGGCAGATGCATGAAATGTGGTAGCTGCTGCTCATGAGTCCCAGCCATCTAGTTTAGTCAAATCCACGCCGCGTGAGCTGCGCTGGGATACTCTCGGCGGTGGCGGAAGTCGCAGGAAGTGCGCAATTTAAGTCGCCGGAAGTGCACAATTGACACGTGACTGAGGCCCTGTTAGTGTATATTTTCTGCCTTGATAATTTGGGACCATTATTCGGAAGATAGCCTAATATTAATAATCATTATTATTTTTTTAGGCCATCCTCCAAATAACGGTCTTAAATTATTGAGGCGGAAAATATACCCTAACAGGGCCTCAGTCACATGCCAATTGCGCACTTCCGCGGACTATAACGCCTCCGCCGAATTGCGAACTTCTGGCAACTTCCGCCATCGACGAGAGTGTCCCCGCGGCGTGGATTGGGGCTCAACTAGATGGCTAGGACTCAGAGCAAATAAAATGAAAGAAGCTACAGGAGATGCGGTAGCTGCTGCTCGTGAGTCCTAGCCATCTAGTTTAGCCTCAATCCACGTGAGCGGGGCGGTGGCGGAAGCATCTTTTCTTCACCTCTTAGTCCACTGGGGCTTGCTTTGTTCTCTCCCAAATCTCTATATTAGTAATTCTATCATACCATATGATTCCCGCTATTCTGCGCAGTCACCAGTTAATGAATGTCTGTAGTTTATTAGTAATTGCCTTAGTTGTTCTCCATGTTTCTGCTCCATACAAAAGTACTAATTTGACATTATAATTAAACATTTATTGAAGGATAGGGTACGTCGATGCCATCTTCAAAGAAGTTTTTTCCAAAGATAAAATTTATGAAAATAATCAACTGTTATACTATGGGCAAAGTAAATCCACCATTCTAATGACAATGTTAGTAAGTTCATTGGCTGCTAATCGTAACAAGAAACAAAGCAATATTTGATAAAATAAAAGATTACTCATTTCTCTTAAATAAATAATTACACAATATCACCAATAACATATATTTACTCTGAGAACTCACTGAACACTATGTTTCCTAGTTTATAACCCAGAGGGTTGAACAGGACATTTTTTGGGGGGTTGAAAATTAGTCTTCTTAATCTTTGGGTTTACTGGCTGTAAAACTAAACTGTGGTGGAAAAGTTCTAGTTGTTCATCTGCTTCCAGACTTCGTCTTTCCCAGAGCTTGAGTTTTACATGCACATCCATTTTACAGGTCTGGCTTATTTGTATGCAGACTGTTGCTTCTTCTCAGGCAGACACACTTCCTAATTAATCAACTTCTACTGCTTACTTGTTACTAACAAGTTAGGGGGACAGTGGCTCTGTTCTTGTTTTGTCGTCAAAATAGGGCCTCGGAACCCACACAGGGAACATCAAGGCTACAGTATCTGTGCCTTTTGGTCCAGCACATCTGATTTTAGCAAACTGCAAATTAGCTACTTTTAAAAAATGGCTGTTAGCGGGTCAGTGGGTTTATTAATTTTCCCACTAAAATCAGGACCAGGACCCTGGTAACCACACAGGGAAACCTTTTACTTGAATATTTAGTTCTTTTCTTAGAAATTCCATTATTTTTGGCGTTTTCTCTGGAAAGTCAAATAGTATAGACATGGTGTGAAATGAACACCAACTAACACTAACCTTAACCCCCCCCCCCCCCCCCCCCCCCCCCCCCCCCATAATTCTGTACTTTCCTTTGAACTCCCTGTGAAATTTTGAAGTCCTTATGATAGGGTGAACAAAAAGAAAAGTACTGAATTATGGGATTATTCAGATAAAATTTATATTTGAATAAATAAGACACACACAGTAGAGTGCAGTCTGTTTGTGTCTTTAGTATTCAGATTTACAGCAAGCAAACAGTGTTTTTAATTTCTGAACCATTCATGTTTTGGATGAATTTTTCTTTCTGCAGATAATGATGAGTCCTTGGTCATACCTGTTTCTGCTGTCATCTGGGGTCTTACTTGTCGGATTATTAGTTCAAAGAAAACTGAAGCAGGTGCCTGACTTTGTAACAGAAGTGCATTCAGAATATGACTACATTATAGGTAAGTGAAAGGAACATTTTCATGACGACATCAGGCATAAAGTTCTATTTTATTAGACCAGTAGGTTTTGTTGAGGAAAATGATGAAAGTAAAATTTGATCAATTCGCAAGGAGTGAGTGGCGTCCGTGGCTTAGGCGTTGCGAGTCTGACTCGTAATTCCAACGTACTGCAATCAAAACCCACCGCTGGCTGCGTGGATTTTTATCATTGTACTAGCTGTACCCGGCCACGCGTTGCTGTGGCGTAATTTGAGATAGTCTTTGATCCCCCCCCCCCCCCCCCACAACTAAATCCACCTAGTACCCTCTCCCTCATCAAAGGTTTTTAGAAAAGAAAGACAATGGAAATCGCAACTGTCTAATGAAGTTAATGACGCAGTCAATGTCTGCGCCGACGTCGAGATAGTCCTTGATTTGCCCCCCCCCCCCCCCCCCCCCATCGAAGGTTGTTTGAAAAAAAAAACAGAAAATAGAAATCGTGTTTAATATGGTTATTGTGGCAAATATAGAGATAGTCTTGTTTGCTGTACCACGACCTACTCTATGTATTAGTATTAGAGAAGGCGTTGGCTGCACGTAACTCGCCGGCGAATGGTACATACAGCGCATGCGCAATTACTAACGTGGCTATAATTAGAAATCACTAAAGTTATAAATATTAGTTGCGTATATTTTGGCATAAATTGTGGTCACCTATCTCTAACAGTGACAGGTTGAATTTTAAACCACGACGGTTCAAAATCCGGTATCACAACAAACATATCCTGAAAATTTCAGCTAAATCGGTTCAGTAGTTTCCGAGTCTATAGAGACCAAACAAACACACAAACATTGATTTTTATATATATAGATGTGGCGTCGCATGTTGACCCAGCCTAAAATGGGTACCAGGATGGATGTCCTGGGGAAGTAAAGACGGCCGGCGTAATGCTGACCACATTACCCACCCAGTGCCGATTGGTCTGTAAAAAATATGGGGTGCTTTTCCCGTATGCCCGATGTGCCTAAAGGCGTGAAAAGGGATCTATACTTTACAAGGAGTGAAGAAATAAGAGAAATGTCCTGGCAGCCACTAGTATCAACAGTTATAAGACAGAGAAGATGACGCTACAGTAGACACATCCTGATGAGAAACCAGCATAGAATCACCAAACAGGAATTACAATGGGAAATAAAGGGATTAAGGAGGTGAGGACACACAAAGAACCCTAATATGAATGTTGATGAGAGATGGGTGGTATCAGCATCACACCTGCCACTTGTACTTCCCAGAAAATTTCCTGGTACCCATTTTAGAGTGGGTGGATGCAGATTCTAACCCAAGATCTTCAGGCTGGCTGGCAAGTGTCTAACTTCAGGATATAACATAGGTAAAGCCTATTAGTAATTTTATCTATGTGTAACTGTGGCTAGTAGGGAAAGCAGAGAACTGCACCATTATCCATGTTGTGTTGGTGTGGTGTGAGACTAACTGCCTATTCCTCTAGCATTAGTTTTCACAGATAATAGCCTGTTCAACCCTCAAGGTTTTAATTGGGATATAAACTTTCAATGGAATTCTGACAGTATTAAAAGAAAAAGGTCAGTAGCTTATCTTTTACAGGACATTGCAGAACCAACCCCAGCCGTTTTTGGCTGTTGTGGTTTTTTTCTAGGCAAATCTATGTCCAGTACTTTACCATTGCTTTCTGGACAGTCGGCTTCTCGATACTACTGTTGAAACTAGAGCAAGGCCTGCAGCTGGGATCGAACCCGGCACCCTGGCATTACAAAGCTGGTTTACAATGCCTAAGCCACAGACGCTCTGAGAGTATATATACATTTGTTATTTTATATATTATGTAATGTTTTATTTAGGACAGTTATGAACACAATTAATAACATAGGAATATAGGCAGGAAAGAGTTTAATGGAATGTGTCAGCATATTAGAATACTTGTTAGGGGTGTAGTGGGTCTGTTCTTGTTTCCCCTCTAAAATGGGGCCCTGGAATCCACACAGAGAACAATAAAGCTATGCTACCTGTACATATTCCTCAAGTGGACTTTAGCTGCAAAGTCAAACCCATTTACTAATATTTCAACAAAGAGCTTGGTTTGAGTTGTTTAATGGCTTGTTTTCTAATTGAAATTACGAGGCAGGAAAGATGAGTTGTGCATATGTGTCTTAGATGATGCTTTAACATAGTTTACAGACATAGGAACAAAAGCAGTTTTTTCCAACTTCTTCTGTTTTCTTTTGCATCACCCTTAAAAGAGTGAATGGGGCATTGTGGTAGACAGGTAGGCTGCAGTATATGTACCTTTTATCCAAACATTTAATTTCAGCAAGCTCCTAATTAGTCACCTTTTACAACATGCTTTGTGTGTGTGTGTGGTGGGGGGGGGGGGGGGGGGGGGGGGGGGGCTCCCAAACCTACATTAGGAAAAACAGTCAAATTCACACTTTCTGAGTTGCTGGAAATGAAAACTGTTGAGATAATTAAACAAGAGACAAGAGAAATGTTTCAGTCACATTAAAAGACATGATATTTTAATTAAAATATTATCAAAGAGGAAAGTTGAAGGCAGGCGAGCAAGGGATAGAAATTAATACAAGTTGGAAGGCAGCATTATGAGATGGGTCAGGGTGTACAACCAAGGCAAGAAGCGAGTATTGGAGATCTACTTCTGCCAGGTTTCAGTGTGGAGAAAGCACATGCATGATTTATTGACAGTAATCTCAGTGCACAACTTCTTGACTTTGTATAAATATTTATTCCTTTTCATTGTTAGTAATATGTTGATTCACTTTAAATCATATAAGATGAGAGAGGAAAAAAACAAAACATTTTTAATATGTGGGTTCTGGGGTGCCGTTTTTGTGAAGGAAAGAGAATACATCCACTGCCCCTGAGCAAAAACTGACTAATTATGGCTTTTTCCTTTGAAGTCAGAGTGCACCTACCTGATAGGTGAGGAACCATTAGGCTGCTTACATGATCGCCAAATCTGTAAAATGTATGATCACGCAAAACTCAAGTTCTGGAACAAGACTAAAGTCCAGAAGCGGATGAAAAACCAAAACTTTCCATCAGAGATTACTGCCAGTGAGCTTTAAGAAGAAGAAGTAACAATAAATGATACATAGAATAATTGAGACATTCATCTGCATACATTTGAAACTGAAGCCGTTGCTTTCATTTCTGATTAAGTTGGTGCTGGTTCTGCTGGCTGTGTTCTGGCAAACCGGTTGTCTGAAACATCTTCAAAGAAAATCCTTCTCTTGGAAGCAGGATCGGATGACAGGCAGTATCCAACAGTATCCATTCCAATACATGCTTACAGTTTAGCCCATTCATCTGTTGATTGGGACTATTATACCGTTCCTCAAAAGCATGCCCTAAAAGGCTTCAGTGAACAGGTTAGTGATAAATGTTATTTATTTTTTATATCCTTAGTTATGAGATCATCATGTTTGTCAGGTTAGTTTGATGACTAGTGTTAAAGTATCACTCTACTATTTATTCCCTGTCCTCAACATCGATGGTTTCTTTTGTGCATAAGTTAAAAAAAAACCAACCTCCTTGTCTGTTTGTGTGAAATAGTTTCATGCATGTCTTTTTTTCCTGTTTCCAAGCTTTCCTTTTTAAGTATTTTTGGTTCTTTTCTTTTAATTCATCCCACCTTGAGGACTCCAAGATTTCCCTTGGGAGTTTCCGGGAAAGTCCAAAATATAGGGGAGTTAGGATGTGAAATGAACACCAGCTAACACTACCCCTAACCTAACCACTCCCACTCTGTAATATTTGATTTTCCTGAGAACTCCCCACAAAACCTTCGGAGTTGAAGTGAACTAAAATAAAAGTACTGTATTTTCACTTATCTTATATTGTGAAGGTGTCCTGTGTGATACTCGGCATATAAAAATGATGGTGCTAGTGAAAGGTCATATACTTTAAAAAAAATATTTATATTATCTTATACTATCTTATGTGTAAATTAATCTTCATAGGAGAATGAATGGCATGTAAATTCAGCAGTGTTAAAATTTGTATTGACTTATTTTGTTTTCTAATGGATCATTTCACAGAGAGGCTGGTGGCATCGAGGCAAAATCCTGGGTGGGACTTCCAGCGTCAATGAGATGTTGTATTTGCGAGGTTTGCCTCTGGACTATGATAAATGGGCAGAAAATGGGGCCACAGGCTGGTCCTTCAAAGATGTACTCCCATTTTTCTTGAAATCAGAAAATAATGAAAATGCCGACTTTGTTAAAACTGGTAAGTGTTAATTCATTACCAGAAACATTATATGAAAGTTGCATTCATTCTTTCTTTGGAAGAACTTTAACATAAGGCATCCCTTCTCATCTTATTCTTCTGCTCTTTTTCACTGGGAAATAGGCCTTCAGCCAGCTTGTTCCTAGCGGTTTTACATTTTGCCATCATTATGCATCTTACCTCCCTCCCATGTAATTCATCTAGCTTCTCATTCTCTTTTCTGTTCTGTATGTGTGTGTGTATGTTCTTCCTTTTGTGTGTGTGTGTATGTTCTTCTTTTTGTGTGTGTGTGTATGTTCTTCCTTTTTTGTGTGTATGTATACATGGCATTGTAGATTCTAATGTAATACAGTTCTAGTTATATTCAAACCCAAGCTAATCTTCCCTGTATCATTCCAATTTAAGTTCTTGTTGCTGTTCGAACAAGATTTTAGAAGATCATATAACAGTTGACACCAGAAGAGAACTATTCTTTACAGTATTTTACCAGTATTGTGTTCTTGCTGTTTGTTCTTTGACTACCTTGTGCGCTGTGTCCTTCTCCTCTTTTAGTGTATGCCTTATATGGTATGGCATCACAAGCATTATCTCCAAGTGGGCAAGTTTGTATGTGATTTAGTACTGATTTTGTGCCAACCTTTTCTCTTATGATCTAATTTCTGATTTTAACTTTTCCACTCACTCCTGCAGCCCTTCTCAGACATCTCATTTCATGGTTACTACATTTTTTTTTTTTTAAATTTTATTTATTGTGAATGACCATGTCTGGCACTAGTAGTATTGAGCTGAATTGAATTTGCTTTGTATAAGGTGTTTCTTTGTACTGATTGGGATTGTTTTATGCTGTATGTGACAGCAGAAATGAAATGTCAGTGATAAATCCTAAATTGTAACAAGAAGAGACAGGATCAGAAATATCTGTATCAGGAAGCAAGTTTGGACAGAACCTGTGCTAAATTATATCAAGAGAAAAGAGATCAAAAAGTTTGGGTCATTATCAAGATTAACACAGTATAGTACACTATCAACTTACAAACATCTGAAGAAGAGCCAGAGGTCACCAGTGGAAGCAGTGGAGAGACAGTATCTGAGGCCTTGAATACCAGCATCTTCACAGCACAGAGTAAAGATTGCACCAGATGCCTCTACACAATTTGATGCCGGTCAACAGGAGAGGGTCTAGAGAGACAAGATAGGAGTCAAGAAAAAAATACTGCATGAAGAAACTTTGGGCTGAGGTGAATGATATGGGAAGGAGAAGGAGAGAGCTACACATGATTGCAAAGGATATTAAATCCTAAAAGGCTTTATTCCTACATTGGAGAATAAAGGGCAGGTAAATGGCTAGAGTAACTATCAACGATTGCTTGAAAGAGGCTAATGAAAGTAGATCTCTATATACAACAATAAGAAAGAGACAAACACTGTTCTTTGGCCACATAATGAGAAGAGAGACATTGGAAAACATTGTGACAACTGAAAAGATCAGTTGAAAAATGGGTAGAGGCAGACCAAGAGAGATGATGCTGGATGGATCTTCGAGCTGTTCCAGGCAACCAGGGATAATGATCTGTGGCGATGCATGAACACCTACACAAGTTGGCAGGGCACATGATAATGATGAAAGATGACAATTCAAAGTTGCTTTACGTTAATTTTTCCTCCTCAGGTTTTCATCAAATGGGCGGTCCTTTAAAAGTGGTCAGATCAAAAACTCACAGTCTAACCAACTTCCTGCTGCGTTCAGGCAAGGAAATGGGTTACAAAATCATAGACATTAATGGTGCTGGCACAGAAGGTGAGGTTTTGTTCTTTTTTTTTCTTCACAATTTGTCATTTGGTTTACTGGTATAATTAATTAAAGATTCTGAGGAGTTGTTGCTGGTGCTTCAGAGTTTGTTTTCTGTGTGTTGTTCTTGGTAGATTATATCATCATTAGTCACCTAAAATAAATGAACCAGTAAATGTTTTGATTGTTTTTAAAGTGCTTTAGGTTATGTTAAATTGTCTGTGTTTTAAAGAGCTTTAGGTAATGTTAAATTGTCTGTGTTTTTAAAGGGCTTTAGGATATGTTAAATTGTCTGTGTTTTTAAAGGGCTTTAGGTTATGTTAAATTGTCTGTGTTATTAAAGGGCCTTAGGTTATGTTAAATTGTCTGTGTTTTTAAAGGGCCTTAGGTTATGTTAAATTGTCTGTGTTTTTAAAGGGCTTTGGATTATGTTAAACTGTCTGTGTTTTTAAAGGGCTTTAGGTTATGTTAAATTGTCTGTGTTTCTAAAGGGCTTTAGGTTATGTTAAATTGTGTTTTAAAGGGCTTTAGGTTATGTTAAATTGTCTGTGTTTTTAAAGGGCTTTAGGTTATGTTAAATTGTGGATTTCTATGACATTTCGTTGCTTTAACGGAACGTCCTTGGAAGACATTTTTAAACAGTTACAGTGGTGCCACCTGTTACTGAAACAAGTTGGTAATGCTATACAGTGCAGAAAAATGTTTGAAGAATCCTGCAAAATGAACAGATTGCACCAATACAGTATTTTCATAGACAAAAAAAATAGGAGTCATTAATTACTTTTTGACTGTCCCTTGTAATTTGATTATTTCCTCATGTTTTACAGTCAGGTGCTTACAGTCTAAGATAATTGCACCAGTAAAATTTTTAGAGGGGCTTTAATTTATGTTAAATTATAGGAACTGATGAAATTAAAAAATTTACCTCTACTTCTTCTTCTCCTCCTCCTCCTTCTTCTTCTGCTTCTTCTTCTTCTTCTTCTTCTTCTTCTTCTTCTTCTTCTTCTTCTTCTTCTTCTTCTTCTTCTTCTTCTTCTTCTCCTCCTCCTTCTTCTTCTTCTTCTTCTTCTTCTTCTTCTTCTTCTTCTTCTTCTTCTTCTTCTTCTTCTTCTTTTTCTTCTTTGACCTTCTCCCTTAATAAAGCAGTTGGTATGGTGTATTGTGGTTTACTGCTAGGCTGTGATATCTGCTACTTTCGGCCCAAGATATCCGATTTCTGCAAACCTCTAATTAGCCGCCATTTAAGACATGCTTGTTAGAGAACAGTAAATCTATTCTTTTATTGCCGCAAATTGAGGCTGACACAGGGATTTCAATATCTGAGACCATTTAATATAAATGAACTAATAAATGTATGAGAGGGGGGCTTTCATTTATGTTTAATTGTCAGAATTGTTGATGAACTTTGAGATAACAAATCTCTTCTCTCTGCAGGCATTGTTGAGGTTCAGTCCACACTCCATAAAGGGGTCAGACAGAGCGCCTCCAGAGCTTTCTTATACCCTGTGTTGTCCAGGGAGAATCTCCATGTTATGGTTGATTCCTTAGTAACAAAGGTAGGACTTGTAACATGGTGATAGTCTTGTTGAAAATAGTTGTTTGCTTGCTTGCTGACAAAGACTTTGGTGAAATCATTTGTTTGTGTTTGAGACTTAATTGTTGTGTAACTTTTCATTTCCAGTTTTTTTTGGGGGGTACTGACTTGATATGCAGCGATTTATTTATTAAAGGTCAAGGTATAGAGCAGGTAATATGTTTAGATGTATTCTTTGTGTTTGTTGGTTGTACACTGGTTAAAAAGTAGTCTTTTAGCTGACGAAGTCGCCATGTTGCAGTGGTTAGATACTTACCTGCGCATCAGGAGGTTGTGGGGTCGTCCTGACAGAGCTGGATTTAAATGACCTTGACTCCCAATTGACCCAGCCTTAAATAGGTATCAGAGAAAGTCCCAGGAAGTGAAGGTGGGCAGCAGAATGTTGATCACATCACCCACAGAGTGGTCTATAACATGCAGGTCTGGCCCTATATGCCCAGTGTCCCTGAAGGCGTGGAAACAGGTCCTGCTGCGATGTGTCCAACATATTTTAGGCTGCATGGACCTAGAACCTAAAAATATCAAGTCCAATGCATCTGATCACCAGGTTACAGCAGAAAACAAAACCTCAGCATAGTATAGTAAAGTTAAAAAGTAAAGATCCCTTTTCACGCCTTTAGGAGCATCAGGCATATGGAAAGAGCACCCATATTTTTAAAAACCACTCAGAACTAGGTTGGTAATGTGATCAGCATTACGGCGGCCGTCTTTACTTCCCCAGGATATATATCTTGGTACCCGTTTTAGGCTGGGTCGACCTGTGATGCCCCCTACCACGAAAAAAATCCACACAGCCAGCAGTGGGTTTCGATCGCGGTACTTTAGAATTACGAGTTGGACTCACAATGCCGAAGCCATGGACACCGCAAAAAATATGGAGCACTTCACGAATTTGCGTGTCATCCTTGAGCATGATTCCATGCTAATTTTCTCTGTATCGTTCCAATTTTAGTATATGTTCTGCATGAACAGTACAGTATTCAGCATAGTATGGTAAAGATTATATCCATGATTAATCAGATACATTTTTGTGCCATCTCCACAAGGAAAGTTGGCTACAGTGTACCCACTGTTGTCTTTTGTGAGTATTAGGTAGTGAACCCCACATGACTTTCCTGGTGAGACTTTCATACTGCTACCTGAAAACTTTGTGAGTGCTGTTTGAAAAAACAAAAAACATCCAGCCATCCAGCGTAGAAACGGAAACCTAGTTTCCGAGGATCATGAAAGTGTTGAACATTTACTCATCTCTAAGCCATAGACCGGCACTAGATAACAGTATCTAGAGATTTTTTTTTTCTGTAACTGAATATTGATGGTTAGACTTTATTTGTTTACAGTTCTGTGTTTTGATTGTTTCAGATTTTGATAGAGGACAGCCGGGCTGTGGGTGTTGTGTTATCTCATAACTCTACAGACATAGTAGTCAGAGCTAGACATGAGGTCATACTGAGTGCTGGAGTTGTGGGATCTGCACAGCTGTTGATGTTGTCTGGGATTGGGCCCAGAGATCATCTAGATAGCCTTAAGGTAATGTCAACTGATGTCAGAATGTGACCAGACTGCTTGTATCGTTGGAGGTTAAATTGGGAGTTAACGCTTGTCAATATCTGTTGTTTTGCATTGTATGGGTTAGTTTACCACTCACAGATATACCTCCTTTACTTTCTCACACATCTAAGTCCTTTATCCTGTGACAGATATAAATCTGTTATCCTTTCACAGATCTAAGTTATTTACCATCTGACATATAGAAATCTCATACCCTCTCACACATATAAATCTCTTAACCTTTTACAGATGCTTTGTTCTTTACCATCCGACAGATAAAAATCTTTTATCCTCTCACATATGAAAATCTCTTACCCTTTTAAAGATCTAAGTCTTTTATCCTGTGACTTATAAATCTGTTAGCTTCTCACAGATGTAAGTTTTTTTTACCCTCTCACAGATATACATTTCTTAAGCTCTCACAGATCAAAGTCTTTTATACTGTGACATATATAAATCTCTTTTTTTTTTTTTTTTACCCTATCTCAGGGACTTGGAGATTTTATGGGGAGTTTCTGGGAAAGTCCAATATTATAGGGTGGTTAGGTTTAATATTTGTGTTCCTTTCACACCATAACACTCCCATACTATTGAACTTTCCTGCCCCCCCCCCCCATATCTCAGAGTCCCCACGATTGGGTGAAATAAAAGAAAAAACCCTTTAACCTCTGATAGAAATAAATCTTGACCCTCTCACAGGTGCAAGTAATTTTCCTTCGATATACATAAATCTCTTTCCCTCTCACATTCATATACATCCTGGCATATTCAAATCTCTTAAACTCTCACAGATATACATCTCTTGTGCTCTCACAAAAATAAATCCTCTCACAATTAAATCATTTACCATCTCACCTATATAGTGTTGCTAGGTAGAGCATCAGTCACTGTTTCCTTGTGTACTCCCACCCGTATCCAGATTCCAGTTGTAGCAGATCTGCCAGTAGGCAACAACCTGCAAGATCGGTTGATGTTCGACTTTCCTGTTGCTGTAACCCAGCCTGTCACTATTACACCTGAGAGGCTTCAGTCGTTTTGGGAGCTGGTCAAATATAGACTGGTTGGGAAAGGTAAATAACCCTTTCTTTGGCTCTGGTGGCTCAGATTTGATTAGTTTTAATCTAGTGGTTAGTTGTGTAACATATTTATGATGGAGGAGTTGCTGAATGTCTTAGGTTTAAATCCGTATGGAGGCATCTTTTTTTTTTACTTAAAAGTTGACCTTAGCTCCAAGGTCAACCCAGACTTAAGTGGGTACCAAGTGATGTCCAGGGAAGTAAAGGTGGTCAGCATGATGTTGACTACATCAGCCTCTGACTGCCGATTGATCAATGAAAATATGAGTCTGTCATCATATCTACAGGAACTGTTACAGTTCTTCTTTCTTTCTCATAGTTAAGCAATCAGGAGGGTGCACATTACTTGAACCTCATTTCTGCAAAGTGACACACATGATTTACTTGATTTCCCTCGCTGCAAACTCGGGTGGAAAGTTCAGTATGTTCATCCACTTTTAGACTTCTTCCAGAACTTGAGTTTTGCATGCACATCTGTTTTACATGTTTTCCCTATTTGTATGCAGACTGTTGGCTCCTTAAGTCTCAGGCAGAGGTGCTGCGACTTTGAAGAAAACACCCATATTTAAGTCATCTTTTGAGACATGCTTGTTAGAAGGGCAGTTAGTCTATCCACTTCCTCCTCTCTTCTCCCCCCTCCCCCTTGGGGCTTTGAGCCTACACAGGGAAGTGGCTTGATGAACACTGAAATCATAGCCAGGTTGTGGATAAGGTGCAACATGGAGGCCCTAATGACTCTCCCGTTTCAGTCATCTGATTTGTTTGAGAAGTTTGATTGTGCTCACCTGTTTAAGCTTTTTACATACGTCTTGTTTTCTTTCTGTGCCTCTATTATGAAATGTGTTCTCTGTTTAGTTTGTGTCTGCTTTACTGCTGAATAAATAAAATTTGTCATTCTTGGTAACTAATGCTGTCAAAATTGCATCATTTGTTTCTGTTGTATGTACCATATTCTCAACATTTGTATCAGTTCTTGTCTCTCTAGATGTCACAATGTAGCCTGTGCATAGAATATGACCTACTGGTTTGACATTTTGCGATGTATAAAGCAAATTGGAGTTGTTAGTTTTCTTGGAAACTACCAAGCCAAAAAGTGTTGCTAATGTTGATGATCATTCTTTGAATTTGCCTCCCCTCAGCCACCAAGTCTAGGTGCAAAAGCACTATATCTGTTTGTGTATATCCACATGTGGGCTGATGAATATCCACTTGTGTGCACATTAATTAAATTCAGCATAAGCATGGTGCACCCTTGAACAAGGCAAAAATACCTTGAAACCTCTTTGAAAACCCTTGTAAAAAGTTGAAATTGGCTACGGGCCCAGTGAGGGGTGCTCAGAGATCTTGACCAGTGTATGCTTTTAATATGTACAGTTTGAGAAGGAGTAGCTGCACATTGATCAGTGCATTTAGTTATTTTAACACACACACACACAAAAGTAAAGGACTTTTTTTTACACCACTAGAGTATCGGACATATGGTGCAAGATATATTTTCAAAGAACAATTGGCACTCAGTGTGTGATGTATTCAGCATTATTATGTCAGTCACCTTTACTTCCCAGCACATTTCCTGATATATTGTTTACTAAGTTTCCTTTGGTAACAAAGATTATAATTCTTTGTTACAATGCCATTATATTTTGCTACTACTGATATTACTTGAGTCTCTAGAGTGTCATTTAATGTAATGATAGACAGTGTAATTCTCCACTCCATTATGATTTTAGAATATTCATTGCAGTTGTATTATGAAAAGCAGTCTGTATTCAAAACAATATTTTCCTGTTATGAATTTTAATAAAACACAATATATTGCATAATTTAGTGCCGGGCAAATTGCCCTGTATCTTGACAAATGTATTGCTACAGAAGAATAAAGTTTTGGTTTATATTTTTCTTATTTCGTCAGTATCTGCTTTGTTTAAGTTTATGTTGAGGAAAATGGACATAACACTTTAGCCAAGGCAGGGTAATTTCAGTTGCTTGGTATCTAGTGGTGTAATGAGGTCTTGATTTGTCTGTGACTCCTTCACTCCATATTTTCCTAGGACTCTCTCTGCCACTTGGTGTTTAAATTTTCAGGGTGTATGCTCTTGCTGCTGGCATTGTTGGGTTCATTCTCACTAGGTGGCCCAACCTTTTGTCTTTGTTTCTCAGTAAATTTAATGATTAGTAAATGTTGCTCCAGTAGTTCTTTTAATCTCTTCATTTCTCACACAGTCTCTTCTGGCTTTGTTGGCAGCCTTTCTCAGACACCACATCTCACACAGTCTCTTCTGGCTTTGTTGGCAGCCTTTCTCAGACACCACATTTCACAGGTCATTAGATTTCTCTTGTCTTCTTTGGTTAATGCTCAAGAATTATGAAAGAAAGCTCATAACAGCTATAGCAAAAATTAAAATAAAATAGTCAGTACTTCAAATGTTAGCGGACTTGGAAATAAAGAACCAGAACTAGTTTACGAAAGAAGTCAAAAACAAGTTATAAACAACATATTTATTACAGCACTGTACTACCAGTGCCAGACTTGTACATTATCAAAGGCTAACATACGTAAAATGAAATGCATGTCTGAAAAAAGCCACCAACTTAACCATCCAAGACTGATATTATCAGGCAGACAGTAGGAACAACACCATGCGACAAATTCATTGAAAAATATAGGATCAAATGATTTGGTCATCTATTAAGAATGCAACCAGAACAACTATCAACGCAGGCACTAGACATAAAAAGATCTGAAGTCAAAGCAAGAGGCCACCCTAGGAGACAAAGAATTGATGTCATTAAAGAGCTTCAACAACAGTAGAGAATGACAGTAGTAGCCAGTGCTGCCCATCAAACAACGGATTGCAAACTGTTCCTCCCCACAAATGGAAATTGATGATGATGATGATAATGATGAATGTTCAAGTCTGATGTCATTGATAACCTAATGTTGGAATAAAGATGGCATATATGTTTTGTCTTTTAATCTCTGTGGGAATAGCTGTGTTGCAAATATGGGTTAAATTGATACATTATATTGTTGGCTTGTTGGATTCTGGTTTGAATCTCTTTGTCTAGTATACCATTGTATCTAAAGATGCTCACAAAGTATTTAAATTCTTGCACATCTTTCAGACTTAGGTTTTTTGTTGTCTTTATATTGATGGTATGATGTTTAAATGGCACTATAGTACCTAAACTCACAACTTTTGCTTTAGTTTTTGGTTTGAAGTTTGGAGATTTTTGCCAGATAATTGTCATTGTGTAGTTTACAGTGCCATTGTCTATGTAAACTATGTTCACACAGTTTCCTTCTTCCTTAACCATTTGCTTCTTTGTGATTTGCAGTCTATGTCATGTTATATTAATAGTTGACATCATCAGTTCTCGTTGTGCCTAGTGGCACATGAGGCTTCAGAGAGGACTTTCCATGCTTTCCTGTCCTGTGCAATCTTCAGTGCAGTTTTCCATGTCAAAGATGCGGCACTCAAGTCACTTTCCATCGTTCTTCTCCATGTTGTTTTTGGGCACCCCTGTTTTCTCTTTCCCTCTGGTGTCCATGTGAGAGCTGTTTTGGCAGGTATAACAGGATTCACTCTCATAATGTGGCCAAGCCATTTCCATCTTCTCTTGGTTATCATATTGTCTAAAGTTTCTTGGTTTGTGGCTTGAAGTAGTTTAGTGTTTGAGATTGTATCTGGCCAGAAAATTTTGATAATTCTACGTAGACATGTGTGGTGGAAGGTGGATAGCTTGTGTTCATCCTTGTTGGTCATTCTCCAGCATTCCGCTCCATAAAGAAGAACTGGCAAAATGATGCTCTTGTAGAGTCGGAGTTCAGTTCCTCTGCAGTAATTGTAATTGTTGAATTTCCAGATTTGCCTCATTCTTCCAAAAGCAGCTCTAGCTTTGTTCAGACGTGACTGTATGTCCTCTTCAGTCCCTCCTGGCAGGAACACCACACTGCCAAGATATGTGAAATGTTCTACATTTTCAAGAGTTTGGTTATTTATGGTCTCTGGTTGCTGGTATGGACTGCTTGTCATGATCTTAGTTTTCTTTGTATTTATTCTCAGTCCCACCATTTCTGCTGTGCTGTGTAGTCTGTTACTTTTTTCTTGTATATGTTCATGTTTATGTGATAGGAGTGCTATATCATCTACAAAATCAAGGTCCTCAAGCATAGTGAATGGAGTCCATCGTATGCCTCTCAGTGTTTTCTGTCTAATGTGATCTTTAGTATCCAATCAATCACAAGGTTGAAGAGGAGAGATGACATAACACATCCCTGTCTTACACCCGTCTTTACTGGGAAAGATGTATTGTGATTTTTTTTATACTGCAGGAAAAGTCTTTATAGAAGAGAGCAATTATGTTGACTATTTTTTTTGGAATTCCATAATGTCATAACATTTTCCATAGACTGTCTCTATGGACGCTGTCAAAAGCTTTCTCAACGTCCACAAAATTAATATATATACTTCTCTGCCATTCATTGTATTGTTCTAAAATGTTGCGTATGGTGAAGATGTGTTCAGTTGTTCCTCTGCCCTTTCTGAATCCTGCTTGTTCTACTCGTAGGCATTTATCTACTCCTTCTTCAAGCCGCATTATGATGATTTTACAAAATATTTTGCTTGGTACTGAGAGTAGAGTAATTCCCCTCCAATTATTGCAGTCTGTTAAGTCTCCTTTTTTGGGGAATTTTGGGGATTTGGACTATTGTTCCTTCAGTCCAGTCATCAGGCAACATTTCTTTTTGCTAGCAGTTGTGTTGGGATCTACTTTGAGAAGTTCTGCTGGCAGTTTGTCTTTGCCTGGTGCTTTGTTGTTCTTTAAAGTGTGGATAGCTTTAAGGATTTCTTGTTTGCTTGGTGGTTCATTAATAATGTCAATGTCCTGAGAGGCTGGTTGAATATCTGAGGGATTTTCAGGATCAGGTCTGTTCAAGAGGTTGGAGAAGTGTTTAATCCACTGCATGTTTTTTTTTTTGTTCTGTGGTGAGCAGTCTGCTATTTGACATAATTGCAGGAATTTTTGCTTCTCCGAATGGTGTTGAAGTAGCAGTTTTCACCAACAGTGACAAGAATAAAGATACCAAGTGGCCGGATTTACAGCTGCAATTTAGGGGAATTTTGTCAAATGCAAGTCATTATCAAATGTTTGGCTATTCAAATGAAGTGAGTAACAGTCTGAATTTAATAGCACTGATGTTTAAACAATTGTGGATATGGTATTCTGTTGTGTTCCTATAGTTATTAGTTGTAGTATTCTATTAAGTTCTTCTTTGCCTTTACTGGCTGTAAACTCCAGAGAAGAAAAGTCCTGGTTGTTTGTCAACCTCTGGACTTTAGTCATGTTTCATAACTTGAGCATTACATGCACATCTATTTCCCATATCTGACTTATTTGTATACAGACTGTTGGTTCCTTGCCTCTCAGGCAGATGCACCCCAACTTTGAAAGAAGCCCCCAATTAGTCGACTCATACAATGTCCTTGATATAGAAGCAATGGGTCTATTCTTGTATTTATCCCACATGGGGCCTCAGAAGCCACGTAGGGATATTAAGAACCAACATCATAGCATTTAGGACATTCTCCTAAGCGTTCCATTTCTTTCCTTTTCTCTGAGTATTGATCGCCTGGTCACTTCCCACTGCACTATTCTCTCCACACCATAATTATCTATTTGTGCTTTCATTCTTTTACATTCATATAGCTATTAGATTTTATTGTCCGGTGCCCAGGATAGTGAAAGAAAGTCAGATCCTTCTCTCATCTACCTCATCCAGGTCTCCATCATTCCTGTATGTAGGCCTAGCAATATGTAGGCCTAGCAATATGTAGGCCTAGCAATATGTAGGCCTAGCAATATGTAGGCCTAGCAATATGTAGGCCTAGCAATATGTAGGCCTAGCAATATGTAGGCCTAGCAATATGTAGGCCTAGCAATATGTTGGGCTAGCAATGTGTAGGCCTAGCAATATGTAGGCCTATTAGAAAAAGGGGTTTAACTAAAACCCTATATTTAGTATCCCTTGTGTGCACATTAATTAAATACAGCAAATGCATGGTACACCCTTGAACAAGCCAAAAATACCTTGAAAACCCCCTTCAATTTCCTTCAGATGATTACTGGAGCATATTTGCCTAGTAATCATCAGATGTTAGAAGCGGGTGACTGAGTGGTTTCAACTCCAGACTCTCATGTGGGAGACCGGGGTTTTTTTTTTTCTCATTCTCCCTGCGACTGATTTTCAGATGAGAAGCTCACCAGCTTCTATGAAGTCTCTAGTGCGATGCATATCTTCAAATGATCCATACAGCTTGGTTTCCATTAGAATGCCAACTGACCAAACCTGGGACGTCTCTGCTGCATGCAGACAGCATGTCTGTAGCACATGTTCAATATTCTGTGCTGCCTGTCCACATGGGAAAACATCTGAATACCCCAGTCTTGTACCTATGGCTGCAGTGTCTGTTGTGTCCATTGCGCAGTCTAAAAAATAGAGTGTTTTTTTTTTCCTTGGAGGGGAGGGCGGTGGGTCATAAGGACTTTTTTTGGACTTTTTTTGTGTGAAGGCGGCAAAAATAAATATTTTGATCGGCACAGTTTGTGGTGGCAGCAGTAGCCTTGCAGCCCTTAATCCTCAGGCTCAAAACCCTGTTTTTCTACGCTGACCTAAAATGCGGTAAATACAGACAGTAACAGGAGCAGTCCTTTTTGTTGTTGTCAAATTTGTGGTTATGTTTATATCACCAGACAATATCTGAGATATCAGAGAGATCCAAGTTCACAGATGGCTTTAGTTGCTACAGTATATTGCTGAGACCCAGCAGCAGGGGCACAGTTAGACTCAGCAGTACCAACCCTCACCAGCAGCCACTGATTGATCCAAATTATTTAGAGAAAGATGAGGACGTGGAAGTTTTGTTATCAGGTTTGCTTGTTTCTAATGTTTGCATAGTTATTTTTTTTCAAATATACATATATATTTTTTATTATTATTAATTAAAAGACAATTTATACTGAAACCTCTTTGGATCATTGCTGGAGATACAGTGTGACATGTGAGCAAGTTGTTAGCCATTATATAGAGAGAGATATGAGGTAAAACAGTGCAGTGAAGTCAGTAATTTCACCTTTATACCTCATATTAATAGATAATATTACTGTGTTTGGAGAGTTGCCTGTTGCCAGTCAGCGATTTATAATTTCCTCTGTATCTTCCCTTGTCTTGGTCTAGAACACAGAGAAAAACATTTTGAAACTGTGTGTCTCCTTAAGTTTGCTCTAACCAGCAAATATGTACAATCTACTCAAAGGGGGGAAATGGGGAGAAAGGGGGGGGGGAACCACCTGAAAAGTTTAAAGACCACTGTGCTACATGATGATGATACAATGTGTGGATAATCTTTTGACGTGTAGAGGAGCCTGCATGTAGAACATTCTCCTAAACTTGATTAATTTTGTTCCCATGTCCAGGCATAAAGCTTTGCAAGCGTTTCATAGAGGCCACATCTATGAAGAAAATTGGGGCCAGGTATGCAGACATACCTGCACAGTTATGTAAAGCATTTGCATTTGAAAGTGATGATTACTGGAGGTGCCTGATACGAGCAAGGGCTCAGCCAGCCTTCAGCGCAGTGGGAACATGCAAGATAGGAGATGTACAGGATAAAACGACAGTTGTGGATCCACAGTTAAGGTAAGAATATATTTTTGTGCGTGTTTGTCTGAATGAAAATGTGGTAGTAATTTAATGACATATTTTGGCCAAACAGGCTCACAAATGACGACCTCAGGCAGAATGCACAATTTTCCAAAGCTGGCAAACATTTTGAAAGGAAGAAGATGGAGATTGCTTGGACATGTTTGTAGAATGACTCTTGACATTTTGGTAAGGACAGCTCTCCAGTGAGCGGCAGATAAAAAAAGGAAATGTGGATGACTCAAGGATACCTGGAGTAGAACAGCAGAAAGAGAAATGAAGCATTTGACAAAGGATACCATGGGCAGAAACACAGCAGACTGGCAGCAGTGGAGATCCCCTGTAGATGCCTTTTGTGTCAACAATTAAATAGTTGTAAAGATGGGAAAGTAAAGGATCCCTTTCATGTCATTTGTGCATCTGGATGTAATGCTAAGACTCATATTTGTGTAGACACTTGACTTATACAAGAGAGTGCATGTAGAACAATATCCTAGACTCATATTTGTACAGACATTTGACATTGATGGATGATGTAATCATCATACCAGCCACCTTAATGTGTCTTGAGTTCACTTCTATTAAGAACTGATATCATACACTTAGCACATTCCCATAAGCTTAGTTTGCTCTTGGCCAGAATGTTGACAAAATGGGATTCTTTATGGGCCAGGGGCCCGAGCCCCAGCACAGAAAGATCATTAATACAGCACAGTGGGCCACTTGCTAGACCTCTACGGGCCAGTTTTTGCCCCCGGGCCACCACTTAAATAGCGCTGCCATAAGCGTTCCATCTTCAGCAGCCAGAGCAGAGTTGCAACTCTGATGTTACCAGTAGCAATCTGATTTGTATGTCCATCTTGTTTTTCCCTTGCATGTTGAGTGTCGGTCAGATCACACCGGTCACCACCCACATTACTATATAAGGCTATGATGATCTGTTTGTGCCTCCACATTGTTCACTTGCTCAGAAAGGGCCATGATATCTAGTTTGTCATGCATCAGTTTGCTACCAAGTTGGGCAGAAGTAGCTAATATGTTGATTTCCCAGCACACTTCATGCCCAGTTTAGTTTTCTCCCCCCTCCTGTTTATCTATGGTATTCTTTACATTCTTCTAAGAAGTACATTCTGCTGCCATTAGATGTTTCTTAGCTAATTTATGTACCTTCCTCACCCAACCACTAAACTTGTGCATACACAGTATGTGCTAAATCTCATTTTCCATATGGTGTGAATGGAAAATAAATAGGTTAGCATGGTAATACCAGATTACGCCAAGGAATTCGCTAAACTAGCAAATATCTTGACCAACTTTTCTCAAATAAATGCACAAATGATTAAGCCCATGTTTTTTGTTTGTTTGTTGTTACAGGGTAAAGGGTATCAAAGGTCTCCGGGTTGTTGATTCTTCAGTTGCTCCATTGATCACATCAGGTGGTACTCACATTCCAACAATTATGATTGCTGAAAAAGCTTCTCATCTCATCAAAACATGATCAAGAGCACACTTGGCTGCTGGTTTGTAGCAGTGTGCTCCCTTTGCATAATGTGAAAAACAATCATCCAGAACAAGAAATAGAATTAGTTAGTTTGGCTAGTTACGTATCCTTTACAGGATGTTGTAGAACCTAGTATTTATTTTGGCTCTTTATGTTTTACTAGGCAGTTTGCATTTAGTAGTTAGCCGTTGCTTTCTTTCACTGTCGAAATCAACTCAAAGTGTTCTGCTGGGAATTACAAAGCGCTTTTGCCGTAAGCCCACCCAGACGCTGGCAAGAAAGAGCTGGCATGCCAGTCAGTGACACTCATCAGTGACAGAATAAACAGTGTGCATAGAGAGCCTTTCTCAGCAAACATTGAATGATCAAGTAAACAACTGTATAACATAACTTAGTTAAGAATGAAATTAGTTCCTGATCAGAATAGCCGTATACTTGTAGATTTGCCATCAACATTTCTGACAGCCCAAGACAAATAATGTTTCTAAGGCATATCAACAGAAAACTTGGTAAAGAGAAAGTAGTAATTTGTAATTAAATCTACAAAAGAGAAGAAATGGTAGAGAGAAAAATATGTATAACAACTATTAGTATGAGTTAAAAGTAGTGTTTTCCCATTGTTCGTGTAAATAATATGGGTACAAACACTACATTGCTCTGTTTACTGCTTCGGCATATTTTGCTGTAGCTCACCAATAGTTATTACTAAATGTTCAACACAACCTATGGTCCAATATGGTGGACAGGTCAGCGGGTTGCTGACGCATTAAACAGTTATTTGTTTCTAGCCATAGTTTTTTTTTAATACAATGTCCCTTTTTCTGGATTGGGAGTCCCTAAGGTTCAGTCACCCAGCTACTTAGTTGAATGCTTGGTCTGACACTATGAGTATGGATTTCGTGTGGAATGTTGTTTTCTATTGCAGTTTTGTGAACTGCAATAAAAAATGGCTTGTGGCCGATTATATTCAGAATGGCATGTATCTACGCTTACATAATTGGCTTCTTGCATCATCAGTGAGCACCAATTCTGGAGAGAGAGAGAGAGTTAGTTAGTTAGTATCGGAACATGTGACAGCTGCCTATTCATTTACTATGCATGTTCAGGCTTTAATATTTTGCAGGGACTGGAGTGTTTTTCACTAGTTTTTCAAATGGGACAGTAAAGGAAATATGGTCTGATTTCCAAAAGCTCTTTAACAGAGCAACTTTAGGGTAACCCATCTGTGTTAAAGTTGGAATCTCCACTAACATGTAACGTTTATCAGCACTAAAGAAACAAAAATGTGCAGTGTAATGATGGACTGATTTGTATAATTCATTTGAGAGGAATGTTTTTGTGCTTGATTATTTGTTATTATCTTTGGCTTAGAGACTGAACAGTTTTACAATCCTGACTTGCTGGGGTTTGAATTCAGCTACAGGTGATTTGGAAGTAGATCCCTTTGTGTTGACTTTGATAACAGTATGAAGGTCATACAGTTCAGAAAGCAGTGGCAAATTACTGAATGTAAAGATTGTCTAAAAAAATTAAATAACATCCATTAAGCGCTGATGTTGGTTTGTGAAGATATTTAAAATTTTCAATTAAGAATAGACATAACGGAACTCTGGACACACCTCTAAGTGCTCCATCCCCATCTTCAGAAGCAGGCGCAGAGTTTAAGTTCTAATGGTACCAGTAACAGTCTGATTGTAAATTAGTCTTGCCTTTTCTTTGAGGTTTTAGTGTCAGCCAGATCACCTCGTCACGCCATTCTCTTCCAACATTGATGATCTGTTTATGCCCCACACTGTTCACTCACTCCCAAAGGACCCTTACAGCATCTAGCTTATCATGCATCAATTCATCACTAATTAGTGCAAAACCAGTCAGTCTGTCTGCCTATTCATTTCCAAGCACACCAGTATGAACTGGAAAAAAAATCCAAAGTAAGCTACCCATCTTATCCCTCTGAAGCAAGGCTTGCCACTCTGCACAGAGCAGACTTTTATCTCCACCTTTCTCAACATTCTCTGCGAGTCAGTTACAACTGTGATATATGTGCACATGTTGTTCTCAAGCCAGCCGAAGGCTGCACTTACTGCCTTCACCTCCATTTGCAAACTAGTTGTAGTAACATATACCAGGCTTTGAATCACCAAGCAACATCCATTCATGTTTTCTATGAACTGCCGTGAACTTTGCCTGTCCACACAGAGCCATCATAGATAATCACATCACCTGGGCAGGAGTCATTTTTTAACGTCTGATTCTACAGTGCCCACTGGCCAGTCCCTGCAGTCATGGCCCATTGTGATTAGAACCCTACACAAGTCTGACTTTTCTAAGGACACTTTGACTCGCTGGTCTCCATAAACAGTATTATCAGGCTTGCACGCATGTCTGATTGTGTCTTTAGCTTGCGCCGTCTTCAGTCTGTGACCTTTAAATTTACCCAGGGCTTCCTGCAGGAGGTGCTTCTTGACTGCAGCTACCCTGAGATATGAATTTGCTTGCAGCAGATTTAAAACCTATCTGTAATAGTTAACAGTGTAAGTATATATCACATAGAAACTACCAGAGTATCTCTTGTACATCCCAGAATTATCCACATGGCTTCATTCTGTATGCATTTAAGTTTCATCAGCTGGCTCATTGATTCTTTAAGCATTCCAGTACCATAATTTATCAAAGAGAGGATCACATGCTGGTACACTGTGAACAGCATTCTTGGCTCCATATCCATTGTTGACATAATCTTGAGTGCATTGAGTCCTTTTTTGCATTTCCCTGCAACTGCCTCCACGTGATCCCTGAAGGTCCGGCTTTTATTGAAAATTATATCAAGTACCTCAGTTTGCTTTGTCTTTTGATGTTTCTGTCATTAGTTGTGTGGCTTGGGACATACACTTTTATAGTCGTGTTGTCCAGAGAGGACCATAAAATAGTTGCCCTTTCTGCCGTTTTTCTGTGAAGATCAATAAAGAATGTGTAACTAACTTAGATATGTTGTTGGAAAGTCTGCTGTTTGCACCTGTTGTAGTAAATAGTGCTGTATATTGTTTGTGGTTCGTCACTTAAAAAAAGAACAACAACCGCATCATTAAAATAAGTGACAGTGGCTGAGGATTAGAGAGTCATGGTCCGCAGTATCTGTTCACTCAGGCTACTAAAGATTTGCTCATAAAGTAAACCACCAACTTCTTGGCTTAGAGAGGGCATCAGCGGATGGTGGTGTTATTTTTCACATTAACGTTAACATGTGATGTATATTTAACAATGTAAACTTTTATATATATTTGCAAAAGGATGTATTTTAATTAAATTTTAACATAAGGTTAATGTTGAGTGATATGAATGTTTTTATGTTACCTGGCAAATGCGCTTATGCTTTTTTTATTTTTGATTCCGCCTCTGGGATTGCATGTGAAAAATTGACACTCACTGAGTTAAATAAAAAACACTTCTTATGTGAATTCAACCAAACTCAGAAAACCCTGTTAACCACTTAAAACGTTTATATTGGGGCACCCTGTGTTTGCAGAGTAGCCTGCTGTCCAGTGTAGGCAGATGAAAGATAATGGAACTTCACAGCAGTTAGCAAATAGCCGACCAAGAAAGAGATGGGGAGAGAAAGTAAAAGAGACACTAGGAAATGTAGTGTGACATAACACAAGCTACGCAACTAGCACACACACACACACACACACACACACACACACACACACACAAACCTGCTCCTATCTCCTCTGCAATTTTTTTACAGTATATACCCATTTAGTATATTAGCTGTTATTTCACATAGATAAACTGCATTTCTAATGGTGAACTGTTTATTCTGGCACTTCTGACAGCTGCTTTATGCACTTAAGGCATGTGAATATTACTAACTTTGTCACGATTTCAGTGTGTTTTATTATTATTTTTTCACGAGGGACAGCAATGAGCTTTTTATAGGTGTGGTTTTCACCGCAGCAGGAACAGGGCAGTTACAGGGTGACATGTTTGCTGTGAAGCTAGAACTATGACTAGCAGTCTAACTTGACCATGCAACCTCTGTGTTTAAAAATAGATTTGCTTTTTGCAGTTAAAGAGATTTGTATTTTGCTGAACAAATGAACGATTTGTCTGAACTGTTATAAGCTGAAATGTGTTTATAGTTTTATTTATTTATAAATTGTTTTGTTGAATCTTTTATATGTTCTGCTTTTTTGGATCACATCAAATAATTGGTTAGCCCACCTGTCACATAAAGAGAGAAATCGTTTTATTTGTAAGTGATATGTCTGCTGTCATGGATTTGTCGTATTGAGAGTTTGTTTTGTTTATTTATGTATACTTTTTATATTATGTACTCATTGAATATACTGTTGCATGGCTTGTCCTATAAATATAAATGTGGATGCAGTGTGTAGTGGACACAGTTAATTGTTTAGTTTATAATTCTCTCTGCTATGTGCACTCTGAGAACTGCTCCTGTAGAACTAAATGATCCATTGCTGTATAGTCTAGTGCAGGGTTATTTAACTAAGTTTACTCAGGGGTCAAAATTTTGAGAATAGGGATCGTCACTGGCCAAAGGTCTGAGCCCAAGCATAGTAAAAAAAAAATTCGAATGAAGGTTCCTTTTCCACGCCTTTTGGCATATAGAGCATATAGGGCTAGACCTATATTTTTTTAGACCAATTGGCACAAGATTGGTAATGTGGTCAGCATCACACCGGCCACCTTTACTTCCCGGGACTGGTACCCACTCAAGGCTGGGTCGACCTGGGAGTCAAGATCATTTTTGAAGAAAGTCTGGCTCAGCCAGTGAGCGAACCAACGACTTTCCGATCCGCACACGATGTCTAGCCACTACGCCACGGCGACTTCCCACCCAAGCATAGAAAGATCATTTATACAGTACAGCTGACGATGATCTGCGAGCCAGTTGCTAGGCCTCTGTGGGCCAGATGTGGCCTGCGGGCCAGCAGTTGAATAGCCCTGGTCTAGTGCATATATTTTTGCCTCAT